TCTCCTGTGGGAGGTTTGTAGGAGGCAGTGGGTAGATGTTTCTCCATCTCACACGGATGTTTCCCACTCTCTAAAGATCACTAAAAATATTTAAAATATATATATATATATATGAGATATTCATTTATGTAAGAAAGAACACCACAGGGTGTATAAAAAGGAAGATGAGTGGAGAAGGCAAGTTTAACTTCCACAGTGTGGTCACAGCATAGCTACAAAGCCCTGCTCACCAAGGTCTAACAGGGCTTTATATTTATATGGACCACATAAACAGGTGTCACATTTACAACGGGTGTAATTGAATCACAAGAGAAAAATAGACAAATCTACACATATGATGACAGGTTTAACACACATTTCTCAGTCACTGCTAGAACAGGCAAATAAAACTGCAAAAAGGACACAGAAGTTGAAGCCACCTGCTTGATCTAATGAGCATGTGTGGATACTTCACAAACTTGCAGTCAGTTATTTTCAAACACATAGGGAATACTTACTAATATTGGTCTTACCTTTGTCCCTAAAGAAACGCTCTAAAAATTGTATAGGATTGAAATAGCATAGACCATATTTCCTGACCACAATGGAATTAACAGATAAATTATTAAAATATCATATGTTTGGCAATTGGAGAACATTTTTAAATAACTCATGGATCAAATAAGATATAATAGAAATTGATAAATACGGGTGTCCCCCAAAAATGTACACACACTCTCTGAATAATTATAAAGGCAGTGTTTATTAAAATGCATTTCATTTTCAAAATTGCACTATCAGCTGCTAAGTGTGTATACATTTTGGTGGACACACCCTGTATTTAGATCAAAAGCATAATTTAAATGCTGTATATTAAAGCTTATGAGATGCAGCTGAAGTTGTTAATTACACAAGTTTTAGCTTTAAGTGTATTTATTAGAAACAATTACAGTAAAGTTGCAGGATACAAAATCAATGTAGAAAAATTTATTGTGTTCCTATATACCCACAATAAAATTTCAGAGAAAAAAAAAACAAACAAAAAAAGCACTTCCTTTTACAACTGCAAAAAAAAATTAAAATACCTAGGAATAAACTTCACAAAGGATGTGAAGGACCTATGCACTGAAAACTACAAGCCATTATTTTATTGTATTTTTATTATTTTTAAAATATATTTTTATTGATTTCAGAGAGAGGAAGGGAGAGGGAGGGAGAGAATTGAAACATCAATGATGAGAGAGTTGTCATTGATCAGCTGCCTTCCACATGCCCCCCTACTGGGGATCGAGCCTGCAACCAGGGCATGTGCCATGACCAGGAATCAAACCATGATCTCCTGGATGCTAGGTCAATGCTCAACCTCTGAGCCACGCCTGGCTGGGCACAAGCCATTATTTTAAAAAATTAAAGAAGAATTAAAGAAAACACAAGGAAATAGAGATATATTCCATGTTCGTGGATTGGAAAAATCAACGTAGTTAAAATGGCCATATTACCCAAAGCAATATATAAATTTAATGCAATAACATTTTTCAAAGAAACACAACAAAAAATCATCAAATTTCTATGGAACCACAGAATACTCCAAACAGCCAAAGCAATCCTGAGGGAAAAGAACAAAGGTGGAGGTATCACACTCCCTGGCTTCAAATTATACTACAAAGCTACAATAATCAAAACAGCATGTATTGGCAGAAATACAGACACACTGCCCAATGGAACAGAACTGAAGGCCCAGAAGTAAACTCACTTATGTATGGGTGATCACTTTTAACAAAGGAGCCAAAAAACACACTGGAGAAAAAAATCCCTCGTCTATAAATGATGCTATGTAAACAGGAATGCCACATGGAAAACAATGAAACTATACACAACTGCTGTTTGTCACCATATACAAAAATTAACTCAAAATGTACCAAAGGCCTAAATATGAGACCTTAAACAATAAAAACATAGAAGAAGACATGGGTACCAAACTTATGACCTTGGTCTTAGAGAGGACTTTATAAATTTGACCTGAAAGACAAAGGAAGTGAAAGCAAAAATAAATGTGTAAAACTATATGAAACTAAAAAGCTTCGGCACGGCAAAAGAAACCATCACAAAACAAAAAAGCAACCAACCAAATGGGAGAAGATATTTGCAAACAACACCTCCAGTAAACGGTTAATATCCAAAATATATAAAGAACACATACAACTCAACAACTAAAAACCAAACAATTCCATTTTTAAAAATGGGCAGAGGACCTGAACAGACACTTCTCCCAAGAAGACATATAAATGGCCAACAGATACATGAAAAGATGCTGAACTTCTTTAGCTATGAGGGAAATGTGAAAAACAACCACAATGAGATACCTCCTCACACGTGTTAGAATGGCTGTCATCAACAAGACAAGTAATAACAGGTGTTGGACATTGTGGAGAAAAAGAAACCCTCATACACTGCTGCTGGGAATGTAAAGTGGTACGGCCACTATGGAAAACACTATGGAGGTTACTAAAAGAAATTAAGAATGGAACTCTCATATGACCCAGCAATTCCTCTTCTGGGTATCTACCCAAAAAATCTGAAAACATTTATTTGTAAAGATATATGTACCCCTATGCTCACTGCAGCGTTACTCATGGAAGCCAAGACACGGAAACAACATTAATGCCCTTCAATGGACAATTGGATAAAGGAGATGTAGTGCATATATGCAATGGAATATTACTCAGCAATAAAAAGAGTGAAATGTTGCCATTTGCAAGAACATGGATGAATCTTGAGGGTATCACGCTAAGTGAAGTAAGTCAGAAAGAAAAACACAAGAACCGTATCATTTCACTTGTGTGTGGGATATAAACAGAAGCAACAAATGAACCAACAAGACAGACAAACAGAAACTCATAGACACAGACATCAGTATGGTGGTTACCAGAGTAAAAGGGGGTGGGGGAGATAGAAAAGAGTAAAGGGGTTCTAATACATGGTGATGGAAGGAGACTTGACTTCGGGTGCTGAACATACAAAATACAGATGATGTATTATAGAATTGTACCAGTGAAACCTAGGTAATTTTATTAACCAATGTCACCCCAACATACTTAATAAAATTAAAAATAGAAATACAATTATTATCTTTGAGGAAAAAAGATATTAGAAAAAAGAATGAAAAAAATCAGCAAAATATATCTTAATCAATAAGGAAATAATAAAAATAAGAGTGTTAGAGTAGACAGCTAGATAGATAGGAGCTGGGAGAGGCAGCTGGGGCTTGGAGGAAGTGTGAGATGTGACAAACTGAAAAAAGACAATGGAGGTGGCAGGTCCCTATGTGAGCAGGAAAAATTCAGAGCCCCCAGGGTGTGGTCTAACCAGTGGCATAACAACTGGGTGAAGGAGCCTTTGGGGAGACAGAACTTTGGATATGAATCCCTTCTCCTTACCTCGGTGCAAGTAAATAAAACTACCCTGTGACAAAGATGTCTCCTTTTTTGAATGCAACACCTCACGTGGAGAACCCCTTGAGGTTTGTAACAATGTGATCCACATAGATCAGCCTCCTGGGGCAAAGTGCTGAAGGGTGAAGATGGACAAAGTGTGGATCTGCAGAGGCAAAGAAAAATATTGGGCACAGAAGAGATTTTTAAGTTACAGTCGGGGACCCTTTAGGATGGTACCTAAAAGAACAACAGAGAGAGGAAAACAATAAGAAAATTTAGAAACTTCCAGATGTCCATGAGTTACTGGCAGGGACTGGCCTAGAGCAGGTCTGCCTCAGGCCTGCCTGTAGTGTGTTGCTTCTTAACATCCATGCAGGAAAGATTTCACAAGTGAGTCCAGCTGATTTTGAGAGTATGTTTATTAAGGGTGGGAACCGTGAGAAACAAAGGAAGGGCTTAGAATAGAAGGAACAGGAGAGAGCCTAGGTGGGGCTGCTTGCCCCCCCAGAAATGTTACAGGAAAGATAGCAGCCAAGGTGGGGCTGCTTTAGCTCACTGCAAAGTCAGGGAAAAAAGGGGGCCTTGGAGACAGGATCGGAGTGAGGCTGGGTGAGCTGCCACTGCCCACTGCTCCCCTGAATGCAAGTCTCTTCTGGGGAGCCTTAGAGTTTGGGAAGAAAAAAAGTTCATGCTCTGCAAGGGGCATGGGCCTGCTTTAGAGCACGTACACATTGAGTCTTTCTCCTGAGGGCTTTATCCATTTATTTATTCATTAGCTTTCCAAGTGCACTTTTAGTATGCTGATGCATCAAAATAAGTGTATAGGGGAGTTTTGGGTGACTCTTTGTTCGCTTTACATTAACCTTAGGTCTGTCTGGCTTCAATGAGGTTTTTGTTACTTGTTCCCTGACTTCATCTGTCCTTGGGTTGAGCTGGCACAAATGGCATTAATTGGGTTTTTGTGCTCTACTTCCCAGACCAGAGTCATTTAAACTATTTTTTTCTCTGGTTAGGGAGAGGAAATGTAAACCACTTGCTCTCAAGTGCCCTCAGTTGGGGAAGACAAGGTCCTGCTGTTCACAAACTAGCTACTAGCTGTCCAAACTGTTTGGCCTTGTTAGATTTTCTTGTCTCAGTTTCCCCATTCCACTTGCCCAGGAACCTTCCTAGCTTCTTGCTATCCTACCTCACAGAGACCACAGAACCATCTTGCTGGAGAAGCCTGCTGCTTCACTAACAAAGTGCTCAGAGACGTGGACTGAAATAATGTACATCACCAGTGGTGCTAACACAGGACGCAGGCAGGGTTTCTCATTTGANTGCTCAGAGACGTGGACTGAAATAATGTACATCACCAGTGGTGCTAACACAGGATGCAGGCAGGGTTTCTCATTTGAATTCTCTATGTAGTGTATGAGTGCCTGATTATGCCAATTTTGTAACTTCCGTTTGTTGGCATTGTGAGTTTGGTGGGAAATGAGCTGGGAGGATACTTCTGGTTAGCTATCACTACATAATAAACCATCCCAAAGACTAGTGGTTTAAAGCAACAGCAATCATTTATTTTTTTTTTTTGAAGCTGCAATCCTAGGGGGTGGAAGGTACAATGGGGATGGCTCATCTTTGCTCTTTGCAGCTTCATCTGAGGTAGCCCAGTAGGCAGCTGGAGAATCAGCTTCTGTGTTGCCTCACTTGGGTGGCTGGGCAAGTTGGTTCTTCTGGCAGATGAAAGACCAGTCAGGGGAGTGGGCCAGTGACTTCCAGTCCTCTTCACGTGGTCTCTTGATGGGCAACTTGAGTTTCCTCACAACTTGGTGGCCAATTTCCAAGGGCATGTGCCCCAGAGAGCAAGGAGGCATTCTCCCTATCTCACGTTAGAAGTCACAACCATCCACTATTTGTCAAAGCAGTCCCAAAGTCCATCGAGTCTCAAGGTAGGGGACTCAGATCCTATAACTCTACAGAAGGAAAAACAAGCTCAGATTGCAAGAACAATGGGTGGGATAGAAGATACTACTATAGCCATCTATGGAAAATACAATCATTTACATTAACACATCGTTGTAGGTTAAGAAACAACAATATAACTTACATTATTTCCAAAAGCTATTCCATATACCAGAAAGGATATTAAAAATGTAACGTACAATTTCTTGAAATACATTTCTCTCCGTTTCTTCCTTTAGTTTTTTAACATCTTTATAGTAATTTTCCTTTAGGAATTTTATCTTTGTTTCCTTCTCTTGCTCTGATATTTTTTTCTGATCATATTTCTCTTCTATTACTTTAATGTCCTCCTGTAATTTATCAGCATACTGTTTCTTCAATTCCTCCGCCTTATGTGTCAGCCTTTGCTGTGCGTCCTTGTAGATGGGATCAGAGAAGTGAACCCCTCCGTTCTTCTGCACCATTTCCTCTATCAGCTCCACCAGCTCCTGCAACTGAGCTTCCTTCACAGTTTTGCCTGCATCTTTCCTGTTATCGAAGGCACAGCAACGGTCCCCACACTCCTTGATGATGTTTTGTAGTTTCGCATCTGCCTCTGCTAGATACTCACTCAGTGTCTGGTCCTCCAGACCATCTTTGCGAGTGAACAAGACGATCATGTGCTTCATGGCCGACTTCCCAAACATCGCCTTGATGAATTCAACCGTTCTCTGCTCCTCCTCAGTGTAGCGGCCCAGCTGCAGAACCAGGATGATGGCATGAGGCCCTGGGCAAGAGGCAATGACACACCGGCTCATTTCCTCACAGGTGGTCAGCAGTTTCTCCTTGGTGTCAAAGAGCCCTGGGGTGTCCACAACCATAAGCTTCCGCCCCCTCCAATCCCGCGATGCTGCCTGACATTTCTTGGTAACAGCATGAGCAGCAACTTTAGATTCAAATTCCTTTCTCCCAAGGATGGTGTTTGCTGTCGCACTTTTCCCATTTCCAGTTTTTCCCACGAGAACAATCCTCAGAGTGTTGTCCTTAAGGCCATCCATGTTCTATCAAGAGGCTCTGGGGTGCGGGTACTCACAGGACCTTCGTGAAGGGAAGGAGAGTGTGAAAGGGTCAACTTAGCTAAGTGTGGATCTTCCCAACCTTCTTTTCTTTATAATTTCCCCCCTGAATATTTGTAATGGTCTCTTATTCATACTGATCCCAGGAAGGGCAGAGATGAGACAAGTTCAATTACTATGGAATAAATAACAAAGCTGAGTTTCCTACAAAAGAGTCCAACGCCCCGGTGCTATCCCAGGGGAACTCACTTCAACCTTCAAATGTCAGGTCATCTCCATGCTATGTGAGCTATTTCTGATCACATGAAAAAAGGGGACAGTCTTTCAGTTCTTTCTATCACTCAAGGGTAATATTGATCCCAAAAGCTAACAAAGATTGGCCAATAAGTAAAGCTACAGACATGTCTCATTTGGAAATGTTAATACCAAAAAATCATAAATAAATTTTTAGAAATGAAAAAATAAATACATTATGATAAAGTGTGATTTAGTTAAGAAGTACTAGGATGGATTAATATGACAAAATTGATTGTTACAACCCATTAATAGATGAAGAGGAAAATTACCTAGATGAAGAAAAGACATTGGACTGAATTCAACACTGACCCATATTTAAAGCATTTCATAAAATTGAAATTAATAGATGCTTCTCTCACATGATCTCATATAAATACAAATTTTAAAAATGTTGTCAGCACATTTTTTTCCTGAAGGTGAGAAAGAGTGGGTTATACAGTTAAATAGTGCGTTACAAAGTTAAAATAATGGATTATAGAATTTATTTGGGTGAAGGAAAAAGAAAGTTGCTCAGCAGCAGCAACTAAAAGGACAAGCAGGGAAGACTGGCTCTGCTAGGAGCCAAGTACCCTAGTTTCTATGACTAAAGCAGCGTGATGTTGGTGCCGAAGAGAGAGGACAGCAGCCTGGTCGGGCGTGGCTCAGAGCTTGAGCATTGACGTAGGATCCAGACGATCGGGGTTCGATTCCCGGTCAGAGCACATGCCCGGGTTTCGGGTTCCATCCCCAGTCAGGGGCGTGCAGGAGGCAGCGGATCAATGACTCTCTCATCATTGATGTTTCTCTCTCCCTCCCTCTCGTTTCCTCTCTCTCAAATCAATAAAGATATCTTTTTAAAGAGAGAGAGAGGACAGCGGAACAAAACAGAAAATTCACAAACAGACCAAATTAATCCTACCGTGTTCATTTATATTCCATTCCATTGTGTTACAGTTACATTCAGGACGGCAGCATCTCACATCAATGGGGAGGAAGACGGACTAATAAGTACACAAACAAAATCCTAACAACTCCATAGAAAATTGAGCAAGAGACAGGGATAAACATTCAGAGAAAAAGAAACTGAATGTGCCTTGAATGTATCAAAACACTAACATACACTCACAATAGAGGAAATAATTCAAAACGCAAAAAATAAAATAACTAAAGAAAATAAATAAAAATTTCACCTCTATTTCTGAGTGAGGAAGTATTTCTCTCCTCCAGTTTTGGCAAAAATCCAAGCGTTCGCTGGCAGAATCTGTTGGTAAAGGGGTGGGGGGAGCAGTTCCTCTCCTGGGGGGCTGCTAAGAAGGAAAAACAGTCCACACCCTACAAGGAAGTCAGCGCTTCCTGCAAAAGTACCTACACATTTTCACCTTGGTGGTCTGTCCCCAGTGTCAGGATTTATCCCTATATTATTACACTGACAAAAATACAGAACAAATAATGCATAAGGCTATTTACCTCATCATAATTTGTAACAGCAAAAGCCCAAAACCTATCAAATGGCCCTCAGCAGGGACTGGCTGAATAAAGTAAGGTATAGTCAACCAACTGAAAACGGATGCTGTCCAGCTGTGAAAATGGATGAGATATGTCTGTCTAGACCAGTGTGGAGAGATCGCCAGGATATGCCATCAAGTGAAAAAAACAAAGTGAAGAAAATAATACAGAGCTTACCTACCATTTCTCTAATAAGGAGGAATATGAACTACATTTTAAAAATATAATACATAGATTTTTTCATATATATGAAAAGGCAATAGCAGAATAATCAGAAAACTAAACGAACAAAAAAAGTTATATGGGGATGAGAGAAACAAAATGATACAACAAAATTTATATTTTAATATACTAAATTCAAAAGCTTATGAAAGAAACAAATCTAATTCTATTTTGTGTGGTGGATAAATCACATAAGGAATTGGTCCAAGAGACTTGAAAATGCAATAATTTCATTGTCTGTCTCTAGTGGGATATATCTTAAGGCCAAAACCCAACCAACCAAACAAACAAAAAACAGAAAACCTGAAAAAAAACCCACAAATTGTTTTCAAAATTCCTAATATTAGTTGTGTGTGTATAGTTTTGAAGTCCAGTGAAAAGGCATAGAGGTAACAATGAGCCCGGTGACAATGAGGACCCTTAGTGCCCAGGGTCCTCAAATCGCCTTTGTGGTCTTCAAATGCCCTTTCCCACCAAAACAATTAGGGCTCTAAGAAGAAAGTACGGATTCTAGGTCTAGGCAGGAAATGTTTGAGTTGACCTACACTCTTGTCAGCTACAAAGCCAGGATGCTCTCAAAAATCACTAGGTTCTTATCAAAAGGACATAAGAGCCAACTTCAAGGGAACCCAACTGGACAAAGATGAAACCATCTGAACATCGATAATAATTCCAATGAATCCAAATGTATGAAATATGTTGAAATCCATGAGTTCATAGCAATGCCTTCTGTTTGAAAGTAGTCAGTCACACCCTTGGAATGTGCTAGGAAAGCCTCTCTTTGTTCTGAACATTGACAAAGAGAAAGAATGAAGCAGTTACCTTGTCTTGACTTATATAACTGCACCTCGGGGAAATGAGAGAATGGTTGAGGGGAACTTTCTTTTTATAGGACTATTCCTATAAAAAGAGTATTTGTGACCCTTAATGAGACTAAGGCAATCATGAATGTGGGTTAATGCCACTAAAAAAGAGACAACCAAACATCATGTGCCTTCCGATGGAAGGTGATAGCTGCACCTATGAAGTGTTCCCACCAAAAACCAGTCACACCAGAGTCTGATGAAGCCTCTCCTTAAATATAACTTCACACAAAACCCTGAACTACAAGAGCAGCTGAAATGACACCATGAGGATGGAATCGACACAGTGTACACGCCCGGTTCTGTGGACGGAAGACTTCCCCTTTGTCACACAGAGAAACTTCCCAGAAAGAAACAGAGAAGGGTGGAAACCTACATATTAAGTTACATTTCAGAGATAGCAAACAGTTGCAATTTCTTCTGCCCTCAGTGACAGGCAACCCCTGGAGTCCCACACTCCCTGGGTCCTGCTTCTTTTTCAGTAAAAGGAGGGAGTGAGACGGGGTAGTCCCTAAACTGCCTTCCAGCTCTAAGACCTGCCTTGGGGTCACTTATTTCCTCTCCAGGGAAAAGGAGACTCCTCGGGCAGCCCCCAGTGTCTGTCACAACAGCAAGAGCATGAAGGGGCACCAGTCATCACACATGTGCCCTGTCAAATAGGAGACGTGTGACATTGTGCTAATACCGCTCCTGAGTCCCCCGCTACCCCTCAGCACTACCCTCTGAGAGCAGACCCCACCTCTGCTGTGCTGCTAGCAATACAGTCCCTGGTTCCTCCTCTACCCAGAACCCACACCTGCGCCCCCTGGATCTCCCGCCCTCACAGCTCTACTGCTCGCTGCCGCTTCTCAGCCACACTCACCTTCTTTTCAACGAGTTGATGAGTTCTCAGGGTTTCTGCAAAGAAGCTCTTGGAGCTGATGCTTTCGCTTCAACTGTGAGGATCCAGTGTTTGTGCCTCTGAAACTGCGAAGCCAGGAAGCTCAGAATGGGCGGAGCCGGAGGAAGAACTGTTTGCCTCTAAGAGCCAATAATATAGCCCCTAATTTGGTGGGGGCTTTAGTTTCTCAAAGTGAAACCTTTCTCCTCCATGTGCCCACTCTCACGCTGAAATTTCCAAAGCTATATTCGGTATTTTGCTTATAGTTGTGGATCCAAAAGGCCCTTATTAAATGATATAAATCTTGCCCAGAAAGCCAGGCACAGCATCTGTCATCTTCCCAGGTGCAGTGGGAGACAGAAGGGTTATTCTGCAAGAAGGGAGTCAGCATGTAACTTGGTGGATCCTCAGGTGCTCGCTAGTGATGGTGCAATATAGGTTTTGAGACAAGTCTTTCAGGTGGGTCTCAAGTTACTCCTTCAGAAACTAACAAGACTCAGGAGTCTAAACTACTAAAGCCAAAGGGGTCTAAACTACTGTGAGACCAGGGGAAAAGAGGAAGGGGGGGCCTGGACAACTCTCCCAGTGACCAAACTGCCTTTCTGGTCATTTCATATGGTTCTTGCAAGGTTGAAAGGTTGCATGACCTGATGAGTAAACCATGCACCTGGGGAGTAGATGCAACTTTCCAACCCAACCTTCTCACCTTCTATCCCCCTGCAGATCTGGACAGAGGCAGTTTATCTTAGATTCACCAGTAGATGCATCCAACAGGCTCTGGAAATCGTGTTTAGGTGAGAGGCAGACTGTCAAAGCTCTCACGGTGGACAGGATGTTCTAGTTGTCTGTTGCATCATCATAAAATACTCAGTTTTTTATTATATATTTTGGTTCGCTAGATTGAGAAATTGGATTTGTCGATGCTTAAGGTTGAGGGTAGGTACTAAGAGGGCCAGATGTGGCAGGAAGTCGTAGAAAATGGGAGGCTACCCATGGAGTGAAGCAGCTAGATTTGGAAATGATGGTGTTAATGACTATATCATTGGACGAATTATTATTGTGAATGACTTGGGTCACCCTGAAGGCCCCCAGGCAACAGCTTTTCAATGTCTAATAAAGACACAGATCAGGACCAGCTATGTCATTCGCAAAGTCTGGCACAAAAGGAAAATACCAGGCCCTTTGTTCAAAAACCATGAAAATTTCAAGTGAAATTACAGAGCATTAAACTATGTGAGGGGTCCCTCTAAGCACAGAGCCCTGAGCAACCCTACAGCTCACACACCCAAGAAGCTACCTTGACAGGCTGCATATATATTAGTCTAAAGCAGAGCCAGAACCTCATCTCCTGCTCAAAACATCTCCACCATTGCAGAGTCTCACTTCACTCTCCATATTCCTTGAATGAAACTTGTCCTGCCAGAAGTTGCCTTGGATGATTTCCTGGTCAACTAATTGCTTCTCCAAGTATTAAGCTCAGGTACACTGTACAGTTTCCTAAAGGGGAGAGGGAAGAAGGTGGTTGAGACAGAATCCACTGGTGCTACAGGGGATAGGATGCAGATCTTGAGTGGTAACAGCCTTGAGGCTGTTGACCATGAGGAGCATCTAGAACCCAGCTCCCACCTCTGAACCCTAAGGTAAGAGTGACCTCCCTCTAGGAGACTTGTGATAGGAGGAGAGATGCCTCGTCTCTCTCCTGCACTGTTCACCTGGCCATGCTCCTCAGCAGTAGAAACTCCTTTCCACTTCCAGCTCTGCTGTGAGCCACCTGTCTCTCTGCTGCTGGTCCCCACCTGCAAGTCCATGAAGCTGATCTAATCCTTCCAGGATGCTGCTCCTGCACATAGTCAGACACAAAGAGATGGATGTGGCGAAAGACACGGCTTCCTTTTTGACATTTTCCCTTCATTCCTTTTATCTCTGTGCTCTTTACATCATAAACATACCTGGCAAGATGGATATATGTGGATTTTTCAAAAGGTTTGGGGTTATTAAAATACATTACTTTAACTTCCTTCGAAGTCTGCCTTGTGGAGCTCAGGGCTTTTATTTTTCTCCTAGAATTTAGATAAATTCAAAGCTCAAACTTATTACGACATTGAAGAAATAACAACAGGAGGTGAAAGGGACGGTTCCTGACACTTTCCTGACTCTTCCACAAACCAAGAATTACCAAAAGTGGTATTTCAGTTACTATTGCTGCCATAACAAATTACCAAAAATTTAGTGGCCTGAGACAAACAAGTTAATTGTCTTAGAGTTCTGGATGTCAGGAGCCTGAAATTAGTCTCATGGAGATAAAATGAAGGTATCATCAGGGCTGGACTTCCTGGAGGCTCCAGGAGAGACTTCATCTTTGGCCTCACTCAGCATCAAGAATCTGTGGGATTCCTTGGCTTGTGACCCCATCACTCCAATCTCTTGTCATCATCACATTGCCTTCTTCCTCCTTTGATCTCCTTGCCTCCCTCTTCCAAAGGCCTTTGTGATCACATGTAGGACCCACTCAGATAATCCAGGACAATCTCCTCATCTCAAAATCATTAACTTCATCACATCTGCAATAAGGTAACACAGGTTCTGGGGATTAGGACATGGCTATATTGGAGGAAAGGGATGGTAATTTTCAGCCTACCACATGTGGGTAAGTTAATCTCTCAGAAACTCACTTTCCCAATTTTTAAAATGGAGTGTTGACTTAATCGGGTTGCTGCTGGTCTTAGGAAGGAGGGTGAGCTGTAAAAAAAGTACTTAATTGAGGAAGTGGTTGTGAAATAGGGTTTTGGACACATGCTAGAAGAATTCTGAGACACATGACAGAAAGGCTTAGACTGCCTCGAAGAAATTGTTGCTGGGAATTTGAATTTTAAAAGTGACATCGCAGATCAATGTGAGGACCGTGTTATGGAACCTGCAGGAAAGGTGACACTGATACCAAGTGGGGAGAAGTTGCTGAGTGATGTTCTACTGCTGGGTGGAAAGAAGAGCTTGTACACTATAAACATGAACCTTTAGCTTAGGAGGTTTCCAAGCACAGTGTAGGAGGTGCAGCCTGGTTTCTCCTTGTAAAATGCAAAAGGCAAGAAGTCAGAAGGTTGTATCCACCAGCTAAGAACCTCCAAGGACTGTCAGGAGCCAGGAGGAGCTGGGAGCCAGCAAGGGAGGATCATCTCCAGCACCTTCAGAGAGAGCGGGGCTCTGCCGACCTTTTGATGCTGGACCCCTAGAACTATGGCACTATAAGTTTCTGTGGCTTCAAGCTCCACAGTGTGTGGTGCTGGGTTTCAGCAGCCCTGGAATCTCACACAACACCTGGCTCCTTCTTCCACCTCTTCTCCTGCCCTCCTCGCCTTCCATCATCGCTACACCCCAGAGATTTCCCCTCCTGCAGGAGCCAGGGTTTAGAGAGTAGCTGCCCCACCTCTACCCCAACATCTGGACCAGGTGGACCACGGAGGCCGCTGAGGAGTGAAATGCCAGCTTTCTCAGAAAGCCCTTGAAACTCTGCCTGACCCTGTTCTCAGTGACTATTCCCTGCCCAGGGTTCCCAGACCCTGGAGCCACCCCACCCCATTCTCTTTCCTTTTACTTTTTCTGAACTCAGGCCCCTTACAGCAGAATTTAGCAGTTGTCAACAATTTATACCACACCAAACAAAACCAAAAATAACTGTTTCTTTTCCAGAGTCACAGAGGAAATGAAGGGCTCCTGGAATCTTAAAGGGGAACCTGAAGACTGTCAGTGGGTGTGAGTTCAGCAGGCCCTCAGACCACCTCTGCCTGAGAGCTTGCTCCAAGACCACCAGCAAGAGCTGACCTCACCCTCCCACCGAACAAATATACACAAAAGAATAAATACATTAACAAAAACTCACAGACAACACTATGATGGTTACCACAAGGGAACAGAGGGTCGGGGGGGGCAGTAAAGGGGAAAAGGGATCAGACATGTGGTGAAGGAAGTCGACGGGATGTGGGTGCTGGGCACACACTCCATATAGAGGTGATGTACCATAGAATTGTGAAACCTATATACTGTTATTAACCACTGTAACCCTATACATTTAAAGACAGAATAAATAGTTCTATGTAAGAAAGAGGGGAGTGCATTTTCCCTAACAGAATAAGACAAACGAGCTTTCATTCATTTAAATACACAGGAGCTGCCTGCTTCGGCCACAGCACAGGATGGCTAACCTGTCTGACAGTGTGTCCACTTATGTTCACCCAGTGACACTACTTGGTCCCATGAGCTTCAGAGCAGACTGTCATCATAGCACAGCAGCCCTGGTGTCTGCCATTAACAGGTGAAATGCAGTCAGGGAAGGTGTGTGGGTCTGGTTCCATCACCATCGGGTCTATGACTTTGGACAAACCATAACCCCTCTGAGCCCTGGTATCTCTACAAATGAGAAGATGGGGAAGTGTCAGATCATCCAGGTCTGATGTCCCCCAAGGAACTACATCACATGCCAATATCCAGGCCTTGGCCCATGAGAAAAATCCCAGACTCTCCCACCAGTAAGAATCCTGAACTCTGGCCACATACCCACACTTCTCAGGTGTTGGGTGGTTGTGGTGATAAACCTGTGACATTGAACAGGGTCCTCATGGAAGACCACCTGGAGGGACCAGTCCTGGGACTCTTGGCCTGAGGGGTCTGGTGTGAAGGAGCAGCATCACTATGGGCCCTCTGCTCCCATGCTGTGAGTCCCCAGGTCATCAGACTAATGCACAGTTATGCACAGGGACTGACAGCAGCTCCATTTACCACATGGCACCAACAGCCAAGAAGGCAGGAGACAGGGAAGCAGGTGTGTTTCTCCCACCATTTTCCGCCACTCTCAGCACACCCTCTGCTCCCTTCCTAACTTGACTGCCAAGGCTTTTTAGCTCCTTCCCTCCAAACCCCACATGGTTGTGTGGAAACCCCTGAATTCCAGCCCTTCCACAATCCTAGGGGCAGAAGAAGAGGCTGCTTCCAACAGGAACGGGAAAGAATTCAGAGCCTCCTGCATCCATCTGGGACTTTCAGTCAGTTGCCCTC